ACTTTTCCAGCGGCCACATACCAGAAACATATCCGGAGGAGGAAAGCACCGTTGCCGAAGCGCCGCCCGCTCGCTGTGATCCCTTGAAGGTATACGCCCAGTATGATGTGCTGCGCGAGCATCTCACAGCTCCCGAATTTGTGCTGGTCGACAACGAACAGGATGCGGATGTGCTCTGGCTGACCTGCCACTATAAGAATTTCGCGGAATTCGCACGCGATACGCCACACAAGTTCATCAATCAGTTTCCCTTCGAGTACGTCATCACCATCAAGGATTTGCTGGGTATTGTCGGTCGTCGTGCTGCAAAGGAGCATCACAATGCCGAGACGCTGGACACGTATCCCACGTGGCTGCCCACCACCTACAATTTGTCCACGGAACTGCGCGAATTTGTCGCCTATTATCAGCAGCGTGCGGCCAAACGTTTGGATAACCATTGGATTATTAAGCCCTGGAACCTGGCACGCGGTCTCGACACCCACATCACGGATAACATTAAACAAATTGTACGTTTGCCGGCAACGGGACCAAAAATAGCCCAAAAATATATCGAGCGACCCGTGCTGTTTCATCGCGACGAACTGAATGCTCAGGTCAAATTCGATGTGCGCTATGTGATGCTGGTGAAGCGCGTGAAGCCGCTGGAGGCCTATGTGCATCGCAAGTTCTTTCTGCGCTTCGCCAATCGGCCCTTCTCGTTGGACAACTTTGATGACTACGAGAAGCATTATACGGTGATGAATTATCAGGAGCAGGCACAGCTGCATCATATACAATGCGATGATTTTTTGGACATGTGGCGTCAGCAGTATCCCAAACACGACTGGGCCGTTGTGGAGCAACAGATCTGCGCCATGCTGTATGAGGTGCTGCAGTGCGCCAGCCAAGCGCCGCCGCCTTGTGGCTTGGCGTCCTGCGCTCAGTCCCGCGCCCTCTACGCGGCGGATGTTATGCTGGCCTGGACGGGCAACGGTGTGGAGCAGCGCAGCATGCAGTCAAAGCTGCTGGAGATTAACTGGACGCCCGACTGCAAACGTGCCTGTGATTACTATCCGGATTTCTTTAATGACATCTTCAAGCTGCTGTTTCTCGACGAGCAGAACAACGAGATGTTCAGGCTGCTGACGGCAAATGGACAATGATCCCTATCTTTTATATTAATTATACTTTTCAACTAATTGCTAAAGTTCATAAACTTATGCTAGAAGCATATGAATGTTAAATATTTTGTTTGGAAATAAAGTTTCTGTTATGAATACCAATTTTCAGTATCTTTGAGTTTCCTTTCACTTATTCTTCTCAGATGAATTCTTAGCATTGAACGATCTTAAAAAGTTATTCGATAAACTTGACTTACTTAACAATTAGAGTATATTTTATTTTTTGATAGTATCTTAACGTCATTTGTAAACTACATATACAACTTATTTAGCGCGCATTTGTACAGTATACAAAGTATTGTTTGTATATATATATATAATATATATCATCTATATGTAGTTGGGAACTTTTCATGTACATACATATGCTCTTAGCTAGGTGCACAATATGTTTCGTGAGTGTGTGTGGCGCCATTTGTTTACATTCTCAATAACTCTATCATAGCTTGATAAGAAAAGAAACTATATAGCTATATAGCTGATAGCTGGCTGTTCATGGGTGTTTGTGAATAGGTGTAGGTGTAAAAAGTGAGCTTAAATGTAATGTATAAAAATGTTGTGTTTTTTTTTTTTTGTTTACCAATTCTTAATTGTAATGGCACTTGAAATGAAAATGATTAAAGATTATAAAAATGCTGCCTACTACACGAAGGCAGCTTGATGTAGGCGATTGATAAAACTTAAATAGATGATATCTCTAGTCAAGTGGAATTTTACATTTAAGGCAATTTGAAAGGCACAAAACTAAATCTCGATTAATGCATCTACAGACTAATGAAAGGGAAAATAAAATAAAACTTCAATATATATATATATGAAAACTTAGCTGCTAGCAAAATGAACTTAACTAATGTCGCTTACTAAAATTAATAATTAACTTAACTTACACTCTACACTTAAAAAGCTACTAAACGCAAACTTCATCAAAGTCTAAACGTATCTTCTCGTCAACGGAAGCTAATTTATGTATAGTCTTTTTAATGCGCAACGCTGGCAAACGCACATTCGGATTCTGATGCCAGCACTCCTTCATTAGCTTGGACATGCCGGCCAGTAGCTACAAACAGGTATATAATAAAACTTTATAGCTAAAGGTATATGGTGTTTTATACTTACCGAATCTGAGCTCCAGCGATTGGGTATGGATGGTCGATAGTTGTCAATGCAGACGACTTTGCGCATATCCTCAAAGCTGGGATCCATGGGGACCACATCATAGAAGGGCACCTTGTACTCCTCGGCAATGCCGCACGAAATGGTGCGCCGGCAAACCTCCCACAGCACCAGTCCAAAAGCGTAGATATCAGTGCGTCGCAGTGCCTCAAAGCACTCCATGTCAATGCTGGGCGGGAATAAAAATAAAGAGTTACACCAGCTGATAAAAAGTGCACTTGGCGCGCTTACCTCTCATCCAAGACCTCGGGTGCCATATAACGCTTGGTGCCCACTTTGGGATTGTGGCCCAAATCCAGTTGTCCCGTCACATGCGAGTGTGTAACCGCCAAACCAAAATCAGCTATGACACAGGTACCATTTGCGGTGACCAATATGTTCTTCGACTTCAAATCCCGATGTGCCATGGCGGGCTTGCCCTCAGTGCCAAAGATTTCAGTGTGTAGATGGACCAATCCATTGGCAATTGACAAACAGATCCAAATCATATCATTATGGCTGAGTGCATTCCGATTCAGATGATCAAAGAGCGAGCCCTGTGGATAGTAGTGCGTCATTAGCCAGAGCTGGGTGCACGAGTTCCGTGAGGTCATGTCGGAGCCAATAAAGCCAAGTATGTTCTCATGGCGCAGCAGCACGGTGCTGAAAGTGTGAAAGAGATTAGCATAGAAAGCAACAAGAAATCCAAACGAAGCCCAACCTGTAGATTTCAGTTTCACGTTTCCACGACTCCTCGTCACGACTGAAGAATATTTTGACGGCAATGCTCTCGCCGTGCCAGTGACCACGCCACACCTCACCGTACTTGCCACGGCCAATACATTCAATGAGCGTCACCTGTTTGGCCAGCGTCCGTTGTACCAACAGCGGCAAGCCGCTTCCCGAACCGGAAGTAACCGAATGTTGCAGGTATTCGCGTAGAGTACTATCCCCAGCGCTGGTGGCGCGCAACAATTCATCGTTAACCAAATATGATTCGGGATCCTGTTTAACTCGGGTTGCCGCCAGACGCTTACGATGGCTGCGCCGCATAAAGCAAACGGCCACTGCGCCCATCAGCGTGATGACCAGAAATGGGCCCAAAATGGCGGCGGCCATTTTGCTTATATTGCTGCTATCGGCTGTGATCACCGTTGCCACATCGCCGCTGACAAACGGTGGCAGCTCGGGAAATTCACCGTCATTGCAAAAATCGCTGGCACAGCAAACGACATTTATGAATTTTGCCGTGTTGCGTTTTGCGGGTCCGCTGAGCTTATTTAAACCAATCGGATTGCAAATCAGTGGCAATTGATCCTGCGACGTGGTGCAGCCGCGAGACACTTGCTCCTGGCCAACGGCATCGCGTGTGCGAGATTTCCAGCACTGCGGCAAGAAATAAATTATTGGATATTCAGATATCAGACTCTTATTAACTCACCTGTATAGCGTTCTGGCACGTATGTGCATGCTCATTGGGATCGAGACAGGGTGGTTCGCACGCAAAACATTTTAATCTGTGCATGCGAAAATATCAGATTAGCGAATATGCAAGCATATAATATGCACTAGCGTGTATGTATTGTGAGTGTGTGTGTGTGTGTATGTGTATGTGTGGGGTTTATGAAAACAGGCGGGCTAATGCACTCAGCTTTACCTTCTTTTCATGCGTCGCTTACTCTTAACATGTCTTCTATTAAGGAGTGCAGCGTGTTAAATGGGTGGGAGGTAGTAAAGATTAGGTGTTAAAATGAAGTTAGGTGATAGCAATAGTTCCGATTAGAGAAATTTCATTTGGCTTATTACATTATTTTGATTGGATTGGAAGTGCATACGATTCTATTGCTTACCTGGGATGCGTTAGTAAGGAGTTTTGCGGTATTGCTGGAAATTCCTTTCCATTAATGCTCGGCGGTAGCTCCATGTCCATATCCTGTTGCTCATCTAGCAAAAGTCCACTGATTTCCGCTGTAAGAACAACAACACGGAAAATAACAGTCACACATACACACAAATTGGCTAGAAATACTCAACACGACACACACACACGCACGCACACACACATAGGCATTTGTGTATACACAAATAATACGCATGTGTGTGTCGATTATAAATGCACTTTTATGCTACGTTCGCCCACATAAGCATTCTTATTCATTTATATAACGCATATTTTTATGTATTTGCATTATTTTTATGCTGTTTTATGCACTCAACGGCAGTTTTGTCACACATTTGGCTTTGTACGCGGCGCAATTGTTCAGAACAGTAGCATATGAAAACAAATTGTGACCCAAACACACACAAACAAATATGCAGCGCGTAGGTATCAATTTTTCAGGGCAATATGCCGCTATTTAAGTCACACACTTATGTTTAAATGCAGCCGCTTCTGATGCACACACACTGTATTACACTTGGAAACATAATTTAACACACCTTTTGCATTTTTATATAAAAAAAATGACAACAGGAAAACCAAAAATAAATTTGACTCCATTGCCATTGTTTTTTATCCAACACTAACAGTACTGTGTTAGCCAGCACTAACAGGTATACATTTACGGCTGTGGTCACCCCAAAATGTTAAAATTTGCTCCAAGCGATTTGGGTGCCCATACTTGCCGCTGTTATGATAATACCAAACGCTGTTAGAGCTAACTATTTAAACTACACGTCGTCACGTTGTTTAGGTCACACTGAGCCGGTCCTCAGCTTGCTTCGCCTGGAAAAAATTGATCAGCTGAAAAGTTTCTAGAATTTCTGAAAAAAACTTCAAAGACAATTTCACAGTAATTAAACATAAAAAATATTAAAAAGAGTTCTGTGCGGTTCATAATTATTTACAGTGCATACACGTATGTATTAATACATATATATATATTTTTTAGGTAAGTCTTGCCCGTGTGTGTGCCCTGTGCATGTGTCTGTGTCTGTTAAAAGAAATTGCAGTCTCGAGTCTAGTTCTACTGTTTTTCTAATTGTGGCTGCTGTAGATGCCGATTGGTGGTCATTGACGTGCCTCATCGTGCTCAAGTTCAAGCAGATTGTCAACATCATTTTGCAACGGCTCCTCTGCAATTCTCCGTAAATCCTGTTCCAGTGGGCGTGTGCTAAGCTCATTCGGACCGGTTTCATCTTGTGGCCATGCCTTATGCAGAAAATCAATCAATGTTCCACCGTTTCTATCGATATTGATCAAACACCGATTGCGTATATGCATACATATTTACATATGTACCAGCTCACGCACACACACATAGATGGATGTGCTCTCCTTGGTCACGTAACTAATAATTTTTCCACATTTTCTTTTGAGCGTGTACGCGCAAACACGCTGAACCAAGGGGCAGAACATGTGTTTGCTTGTTTTCCACTTTTCTAGTATTCCATCGTCCTGTGTCCCTGGATTGTGTATACAGTTTGTTTTGACATCCCATCTCATCTGGGCTGGGCACACATTACATACATTCATTCGATATACAGAACCTCGCTAAAAAACAACAACAGCAGCAGACACAAACAATTGAGGGCAAGTGGTTGGTTAGCTGTGCCTGTGCTTATCTAGCGTTGCCCTCGTCTCCGCCGTACTCCTCTTCCGTCGCAAATTCAGCATGCGGCCTCCTCTGCGTGCGAAGCATTTGCCGGCGTTTAATGCTCATTCGTAAAAGTTCGCTCGCGCCGCAAACATCGACACACAAACACTGATACGAAACAACGGCCACAACAAAACGGCAAACTACGCAGTACGTTTGTTTTTCGTTTCTGCTCAATAATAAAACGCTTGATCTCTCTATGCCTTCCATTCTGTTCGCCTTCGTTTCCCATGTCCGTTTTGGCTGCATTACATAACTGTTACATACATACAAATGTAAATATACATTTCGCTGTTGCCAAAAAAAAAAGGCTGCACAATGCAGCCGGCAAATTGTGCTGAGAGAGCGAATGCGAATAAGAGAGTAGGGGGGCACGTTGGTTTTCGTCATTTTGAATCCGATTTCAATTTACATGCATGCATATGTATGTAGATAACTACTATATGTTATTCTATATTATCTATGTATATAAGGCTGGGTAGATAATGTTGCCTTCCCATATGCTACGAATTAAAACCTACGACAATCGAGCGATAAACCGCTCATCGATTTTGCATGTGTGTGTTGCGTGTGAGTGTGTGTGTGCATACGTCAGAATGCGGCTTCTAACGAATATGAATTTTGAGTGTTATTGCATCAGCTGTCAAATGTTAAATTACCATCTCTCTCCTTTTCTCTCTATCTCATTTCTCTTTGCAGAAACAACTAGAACGCTATAATAACATAAACTAGCATTTCGTGCGGCTTACGTGTTTCTTGCTAACTGTAAAATTATTAAAAATAGTGCAACAAGTGTTTAACGCTTTTTTGTTCGAATTGCGCGTATCGGTAAGAGCAAGAGCGAGAGTGAGATTGTGATAGTGATAGTGATAGTGAGTGCAAGTTAAAGCATTTGAAGCTATGTCCGCTTCCACACGCAATAAACACTCAAAGATCCATGGCAATGAAAAGTTGGACATAACCACGGATGAGTTTGACCGCATACGTCAGGCTTTAAGCAACGAAGAGTTTCGCAAATTGTTCTTCGATTACGTTGACGAAATTCAAGATCCGGAGAATCGTAAGCTCTACGAGAAGGAGATAACGCAGCTGGAAAAGGAGCGCGGCGTCGATGTTACCTTTATTCATCCGCAGCCGGGCTTTGTGGTTAAAACGTCCATTGATGGTGAACTAAAGTGTTTCATTAATATTGCCAGCTCCACGGTTGTGGAGCGGCCCAATAATGAGGTTTCGGTCAATTCGCAAACTGGGCAGAAGGGTCTCAGCTGGTCCATACCGATGGCCCAGACACCGCCTCGCGATGATCTCGATGCCAATAACAAGCAATGCAAAGTTTTTGATGTCGTCTTCCATCCGGATGCACTGCATCTGGGCAAGCGCAATGCGCAGTTCCGTCAATGCCTTATAGATACCGCACTGGATGGTGTCGAGCGCGAGTATAAGGTCAATTTGGATCGGGCCAATCTCAAGTTTCCCAAGCTCGACTATAAGGGTCTTGCGCGTCCTACCGTGCTGCGCAAATTATCCAAGGATGCCACAGCCGAGGAACTCGAACCGCATCCCCTCGAGCACATGTACCCAAAGAAGCCGGCTGCAAACGCCGACCAGCCCAAGGTGCTGCCCATGAAGACAAAAGTGACGCCTGCTCCAACGTTTGCCGTGCCCAAGTACAGCATCAAGCACAGCCACGATGTGGACCTGGCCGAGTACACAGACGAACTGGATGCCAAACTGCAGGTGACTATGCCACGTGCTCTGGTCGTTGAAATCGAATTGCCGCTGCTCAGCTCTACGGCTGACTGTCAGCTGGATGTCACCGAGAAGTCCGTTTATCTGCTCAGCGAGCGTCAAGGAGCCAAATATCGACTGAAGCTGGATCTGCCGTACACGGTGAACGATAAAGCCGGCAATGCACGCTTCGATACCGAGCACAGACGTCTGTGCATAACGCTGCCCGTGGTGCGTTCCACGGCACGTGAACAGCGCAATTTGCACGACACCGTGCGCGTGCTCACGCGCGAGGACAGCGGCGTGGAGCTCAACTCCAATGGTGAATCGCCCGTTGAAGATGAAGCTGAAGCGGAAGTTGAAGCCGATGCCATTGTTGAGCTGCAGTCGCACGATCAACGCGATGTTTCCGATGCATGTAAGTAGTTCACTTTTTATGAAGTCCATTTTTAACTTGTTGCCTCATCCAACAGTCCCGCCCACTGCCGTTGTTTCGCCCCGTTCGTTTCTGAAGGACAACCTGCACTATAAGCTGCCCGCCTCGTTTGATTGCAACATACTGGACAATGTGATTGCCTTTGTGCTGCACGTGCCCAATGTGCAACCGGATTCTGTGCAGACACTGCAGCAGGCACGCAGCCTGCATTTGCAATTCGCCTCCATGGGCAGTGGCTACTATCCCACCCACTATGCGTTCCTAGTGCAGCTGCCCGATGGGCTTGAGCCGCAGCTGCAGATCGATCATATCGACGTGGATGCCGCCGATGAGAATGTGGTCTTGAGACTGTATATGAATGAGAACTGCATGCTGCTGCCTAGCTATCTGGCTGGACCCGATAGCACTGATCTCAAGGAATATCCAGTTTTTGGCCACTTTAACAACAACAACAATAATGAGAAAGAGTATGAAGGCTGCAGCTTGGCTTCAGAGAAGTCACTGTATATTAACATGGATCACAATGATCTGGAGCATGCATTGGAGGTGAGCATCATGCCACAAGAGAGCACTGATCCTCTAGATAGTATAGAGCTGCTGCAACAGCAACAACAACAACTGCAACAGCTGCAGCAGCAGAAGAAGCTAAACAAGAAGCAGCGCAAGCGCAACAAGAAGCAACGTTCGCTCTCTGAGTCTGCCTGTGAGGAGCTCAAGGCGGCACAGGAGGAGCTGCAGCTGCAGCACGAGAAGCAACAGCAGCAGCAGCAGCTGCCGTCGACACCCAAAGATGCTTCGCCGGAGCGCTTGCAGAACGTGTCTCAACCGGTGGACACGCTAAAGCTGCCGCAGCGCAAGCAGCGCAGCTACTCGGAATGCAATGAGAGCAGCAGCTGTGTGCAGCGTGGCATATTGAAGCGCTTCAGTCGCTATGGACCACGCCCCTCCATATCCGATAGTTGCTCCTCAATTGATGATTGCTCCTCAACATATTCGTGCTCAATGGATGCACCTGGTATGGGTTTCTCACAATCATTTGGTGGCATACCCGAGGAGCGTAGCGGAGAGGGAGATGTAGGTCTATCGGAGAGCTGCAAGAAGACTGTTAGATTTAATGATCACATCATGAAGCAAGTGTTCAGGTGCGTCTAAAAATATAAAACGGATCCAATTGTATTCAATTTCATCTAATTATCGCATCTCTATTTTTAGGCTCGACTCGAGCATACTGGGCCAGCGAAAGAAGAATCAAAAGCGACGCGATTGCAAATTGCGCGCCCAACAGCGTCGCCTCAGCGAGGGCGACTCGGCGGACTACGAGGAGGTGGAGCATGGCAATGGCCAGCAGCCGCCCGCCCACAAGGTAAACTTGTGATTTGCGCCAGCTTGTTAATTTGCCGATTGGAGCTAATTGAATTAGTGCTAGACGCGAATATTGATTGTATTGGAATGCGCGTTATCCAAGTGTTAGTTTCTATTGTATGACCCATTTGGCTATCGAGAGCTTCAGGTCTAGTCTTAAACGTGTGTAAGCTAGTTAAATATTTGCCGCAAGTTGCAAATAAGTTCGCGAGCAAACACAATTGAAACTAAAGCATTCCAGTTCTTAGCAGTGCTATTGCGATTTAAGTTAAATCAGCCTCTAACTAGTCACTAAACGAAGGTCAAACGTCGAGCGATAATGATAATGATATGATATATAGTATTTGTGTTTGCAATTTGTGTGTAATTTGAGTAAACATTTGATTGAATGATAAACACTTGATATAACTTTGATAAGTGGCAGTTGCTAACAGCCGTTTAACATAAGACGGCAATGTTAAATGTGAAAATGTTAGGCGAAAGCTGTTAAAAAAATGCAATGACAGAACTCCATAAGAGCCTTTAGAATTTTGCTTTTTATAATTTTGAGTGCGATCATTTCTATTTAAAAGTTGATTCGTTACATCTACTTAATATCCTTGATTCTACTCTCGCCCTCAGACCGCTGCCAATGCACAGTATTTCAAGCAGCCGAACAATAATAATGGTCACGACCAGGACAAGAACAAGAAGCTGTCGATGCACGATAGCGGTCTGGACTTGACCAACAACAACAATCACAACAACGAAGAGGAAACTAAACGCAATGAGGCTGATGCCAAGAATGCCATGATGTTTGAAATGGATGACGATGACGAGGATGAGGATGAGGATATGTAAGAGCACCTCGAGCGCTCGTTACAGCAACTGTGCGTGTGTTATTTTTCGAGGAAAATTTTAAAAAGGAATTTTTGAAGCTACTTTTATTGTACTGATATATATATATATATTTTTTTTTTGTGAAACAAGAGTTTCTAATTGTAAATGGTAAACGTTGTTTATCTGCAAACAGGCGCTCAATTTAATAACCATATACAATTGCAAATTGTTTAGGTACACACCCAAATACTATATATATATATATATATGTATATTTAAACTAAGTGAATATATATATATATATATGTAAAGAATGAAGGATAAATCAGGGCTAACAACAAAATCAAAATGAACACAAAAATTCACTTATGTACATGGTTATATACATACATACATAAATAATTGTTATTTAATTTGGTTAAACATAAATTGGAAAAATTGTTAAATTGAAACGTTCTCATAATAATTAATTTTAGATTGTACAAAACGCATTACCATCTGATTATACATACACGCGCATGCATACAAAACAAATATATAAATATTTAATTAAAGCAAAAGGAAATCTGTCAAGAAATTCATTTGAACAAATGCTAATGCAAATTACAAGCGGCAACTAAACAATATCAATAGTTAACATTGCATATATGCTACACACACACACACACACACACACACACACCTGCATTCATAGTGTTTAAGCTATATATATATATATATATATATACGGGATGCCGACACTGATTGTTGTACGTGTAGTATTTTAACTTTTTTAAACAGTCGCAAGTTAAATATACAAAAAAAAAAAACAATATATATACACATATGTCTATGCATACAGCTTAAATCGGAAGAGCTAGGAAGCTGAATTGGGGATCGCATAGCCGGGTGATACCCATTATAATATAACTCGGTCAAATGCACTGCGATCTTGGAAAGATATTCCCATTCCCTCTTGCACTCATGGAGTTCTATGCCAGTTGCCCTTATGAAATCTTATAAGGGTTTTCCTCCATAGATTGACTTGGACTATATCTATGAGATTTGACATAACTAACCAAGGATTTATATATATGTAGGTCATCTAAAATCCATCGGCTACTTAAGAATTTAATTATATCGTTTAAATGGAGCTTGCTCTTGGACACATTGGAAACTACACGACTTCAAGCCCCATATAATAAATTTGCATCAACAATTTTGGATATCTTAACAAAGTCAGTTTTGACAAAATTTGTGATCTTACTTACCGCTTGCCAATCTTGGAATGCGGATTCTTTTGATTACCAATCGATGGTCGGTCGGTAACTCGGTTAAATGAAGTCATATCTAGTCTTGAATTGTTTTCCAGGCATCCACTAAATATTTATATATATACACGTGATATTGAACTAATTGAAACGCTCCTCCAGCTGTTTGCGTATATGCGGCGCTTGCTGCAGCTCCCGCCGCTTCACCTCCAGCACATACAGCACCGGGCAGTCCAGTGAACCGCATTGCAGCTCACCCAACCGGCCGCAACAGGCCTGGCATATCTGCTGGGTTAGCCTGTAGCCGCGCTCCAGCTGCGCCAGCTTTGCCTGCAGCGTGACAACGCATTTGCTGGCATTACGGGCACAATCCGTGCAGATGCCCGCCTTGGTCTGGCGGCCGCAGTCGATGATGCAGTTGCTCGTTGAGAAATATTGCGATATGGTGGATTTGGCGCTGCCGCGATTCATCAGCTCCCCAGCCGTCGACAGAGCCGGCATTATGAGCAGCCTGCGCGGCAAATTGCTGAACCTGGAAATAGTTGATGGTTAATCTTGGCAGTGCAGCTGATTCACTTGCTTACCAATCATTCACATCGGCTCCGATGAGCAGCAGGCAGCGATTCAGTGGCGGTATTATGGCCTTGGTTATATAGTAAATGGCATTGATTTTGTAGCCCTCGTTGGCCAGCACCTCGTGTGGACTGCGCACCAGGCGTATCAGCGGCACGCCGGGCGGTCCATTGATAATGCAAAAGGGCACACGCTCACCGCGACGCGGCACGCGTCTGGGATCCTTTTGCATCCATTTGCTGCGTACGGTGAATGAATAGAAAATTAGTCGAATCTATACATTATGGTATCTTTATATGCTCTACTCACCGCGTCATCTCCAGCGCCGGCACACAGGCTGTGGGCTTATAGCCGTTTAGTCCGCGAAACTCCTTGGCAAAGATGAGATCCTGCAGATTGGCGCGTCCGGAGAGCAGCTTGGTAAATTGCCGGCACACGTACTGCTTGATCAGACTGACGTCCGCCGTTTCGAAGAGCAGCCGCAGCACCTTCTCCAGCATTTTGGCAACCGCCGGACAGCCATCACGTCGCACCGTCTCAATGCCCTTGGCCTCGTACACCGGCTGCTGCTGCTCGGGCGTCTCGTACATGTAGCCGACGTAGCGTTTTTTGGTCTGCAGCACGCACGGCTGATAGACCTTCTCCAGCTTCAGTTTGACCGGATGCGGATTCATTTCGGTTACGGCCTGTGCAATTTCCTCGCCAATGCGAAAGGCCTCGGCACGATTGCGTCCGGGCACAAGAACAAACATGGAATCCGTGTCGCCGTAGACGACGCGCACGTTCCACTTCTCGTGCGTCTCCACCAGTTTGATGGCACGCTCCAACGTCTCACGGCCCTTGGCTACCACCGAGTCGCCCACCTCGACGGCGGGCATGCGCCCGCTGAAATTGGCCGCCGTATAGCCGTAGGTAACATTTGCCATTAGCTTCAGGCCCAGTTGGCGTGAGTGCAGCACACGCTGCAGCGCGGAGCTGTCGCGATGCAGCTTCATCGATTGCTTCACCATCAGCCGGGTGTCCAGTATTTCACTGAGCATGCGCGGCAAGATGCCCTCGCGCACCTGGCGCTTCACAAAGACCACGCCGCAGGGTGAGATTGTGACCAGATCGCGCTCCAGCAGCTGCTGCAGCAACGGACGCGAGACACGCAACTGCGAGGCGCCAAACTCAAACGGGCTGCTGCTGCCCAGATGCTCGACACGACCCAAGCAGGTGGAGAAACAATAGTTGTAGGCTATGATCATGCTCGGATACAGGCTCTGAAAGTCCAGCACGATGAGGGGATCGGCATAGAAACGTGATTCGGGCTCCATGATGAGCGCCAGGTACTCCGGTGCACGCATGTGTGCGCGCTGCTGCACGCTCGGCGAGAGCGGCACCAGATTCTTGGGCTTCGCTATGCTGTGGTTGGGCGAGAGAATAATAATAAATATTTAATATAGGCATCCATATGTAGAGGGGGCAATACCCACCGCAGCATCATGCTTTCCACGCGAAACTGTGAGCCGCGTGAGAGCACCTCATAGAACTGTATGCCAATTAGTTTGGCCATCTCGCTGGTGCGACCCAGCAGATCCAGCTGATCGAGCAGCGCCAAGGTGCCGCGCACACGCTCCAAATAATACTCGAGCACAATCCAGCGCGTGCAGGGCGAGGCAAACCAATCGGTCAGGGCGCGCGGACTGTGCCAGGGACAACGCTTGTGCAGAATATGATACATGACATTCTCAAAGGTGTACGAGGTGAGCGCAATCTCGGAGCGCATCAGACGCCACACGTCCAGCAAAATGCGGCCACAGAGCTTCATCTCCACATCGAGATCCGTAAACGATTCGCGATCCTCGTCGACAAAGTCGCGCACCTTTTGCGTGGGCACACGCGACAGCAGGGGCGCAATGTTGAAGCACAAGTGCTTGGCACGCTCAATGATGTAGCCCCAAGAGCTCATCTCGATCTCGTAGCCCGCATAGATGTCCGCATCCCAGCGCGTGCAGAGCGCCAGCAGCGCCTCAAAAGCCTGCGCCTCGCTCTGCACCACCTGCAGCTCAATGTCTGCGTCCAGGCCGTGATGTCGTCCCTCGCTGACCAAATCTTGGGCATCGCTGACTATAATATAGCCGCAGGCCTTGCTGGGCAGCGCCTGCTGCTCCGCTCCAGCTGCAGCCGGCAGGCTATGCTCTATGGCATAGAATATGCAGCGTATCTCGTCGTACAGCGGATCCGGCTGCAGTTCGTCTCGGGTGGGCACAAACAGCTCCAGCGTCATGGTGGTCAAATAGTTGCACTGCAGAAATTAAGATTTGATACATGGAATACATGTTGGTCTGAACTGTTGCCCACCTCAATGTCGGCCTTGGCCTGCTGCAGATTCTCCAGATTAACCTTGAAGCCAAAGGTATTGTCCAGCGTCGCATTGGTCAGCCCAAAGCTGAGCTCATGACTGTTCCGTCCGCTACTCAGGCTGTCCAGCTGGCGCACAAACGAGCTACGCTCCAATGCATCCAAGGCATCGCTGCTGGCGACGCTCTGCTCACTCGACTGACTGCTGCCTGGCGGCTCATCCTGTTCTGCTGGAAATTTAAGCTTGGTGGCGCGCCTGGCGCGCATCTTGCAGCTTAGCGGCGTGTCCTTCGCTTGCCGCTTACCTCTGCCTGTGGGCTGAGGCGTTGCTGGCGTCTGTGACAGGGGCGTCAGGGTTAGGCGACTGCAATTCGGCTCCCCGTCCTCATCGCCACTTGCTCCGCTCTCGCCATTGCCTTCGTTGAGCATCATGGTTATTTTCTGGCGCTTGATTTTAATGGGGCTATCCACATCGTTGGCCAGCGGGCGCAGCTGCTCCTCCTCCTGCTCGCCCTGGCGCTGCTTGTGCAGCTCGCGCGCTTTTAGCCACAATTTGGCGTCCTGCCTGCTAGGCGGACTCATTGCCGGCTCCATGACCAGCCGCTGCTCGCTGCTGAAGTACTCCCGCACCTGCTGCTCGCTGCGATAGCGCTGCAATATGGCTGGTCCGGCAATGCCTACCAATTGCTTGCGGCGCCAGGCCGCCAGACCTTGATGGCTGGCCAAAACGCTGCTTTGAAAGGGCTCCAAATCGTTGAGCTTGTTGCCCGGTATGCGCAGCACCAGAAATCCCACCTCGGTCATTTTGCTAACATCGGCGGGATTGCTATAGAAGGGCTGCTGGAACACGTACTCGGGTATGTCCAGTTTGCGGCAGCTCTGCAGCACTTCCTCATAGCTGGGCGGCAGCTCTAGCGGCGCAATTACAAACGTATTGAGATCTGCGGAGTTGCTTGAGCTGCCGCTGGGCCTGGCGAGAAATTTTGATTGGGCGGGCAGCTGCGGACTGCCCAGATCATCGCTGAATACGGACGGACTGTTCACAATCAACGAGTGCTCATAGAAGCTCTTCATCAGCTCTGGAGTATTACTGCTTATGCTCTGTGGACTACATTGTGGTGTGTCAATTGCTTCAATCATTTCTACTTCATGTGCATTCTTGAGTGGCACAATTGGAGTCGCTGGTGTCCTACTCGCTGGAGTGCGAATTGATCTCGCTGAAAGTTTACTCGTTGGAGTGCAGTTTATTGCTAGCATAGGACTCCCTAGGGTTTGGCTTTTGGAACTCGTTGGCGTCGCAATCGCTGGCGTTTTACTCGTTCGTGTCTTATTAGCTGGAGTGCAATACATTGCTTTCGCTTGACTTTTTGTACTCGTTGGCGTTTCACTAGCTGCAATTTGACTTATATCAGTTGTACTCGCTGTCGCTTTACTCGCTGTCGCTTTACTCGCTGTCGCTTTACTCGCTATCGCTTTACTCGTTGGTGTCTTACTCGCTGGAGTGGACTTCATTGATCTCGCTAAAGCTTGAGTTTCGGTGCTTGTTGGCGTTGCATTCCCTGAAGTCTTACTTATATCAGTTTTTGTACTCGTTGCCGTTTCACTCGCTGGAATTTGACTTATAGCATAAGCTGCCATTTCACGCTCTGGCATTGGACTTGCTGCACTCGCTGGAATTCGACTTATAGCACTCGTTGTTTTTTTAGTAACTGGCATTGGGGATTTAGATGCAATTATTGCACTCGCTGGCGTTATACTTCCTTTACTCGCTGGCGTCGCTCTCTTGGCCAGCACCGATTCGCGAAAACTGCGTCGCAAACGTCTCAGATTTGGCGTCTTGCGCAGCTGAGCCACAGACCTATCGCTCTCTGTGTCAGATACAATTGCCTCATCGTCGCTAGTTACAGCGGGCGAGTCCGTTGGCTGGTTAATTGTTGCCAAACTAGGCGCTGCCTTAGCGATTGCTCGCTCCTCAACATTCTGCTTGGCGCTGTGCCGTGCGCTGCGACGTGGTTTCTTCTGCTCCACTAAGATCTCAGCTGTGGCTGTTGAACTGTTCGCTGCCTCAAAGACTTCCGAAATGCGAGAATTTCTCCGACGCGGCGTCAGGGAGCAAATGATGTGCGTTTTGTCCAAATCACGCGTGCGACTGCGCGTGCTACGCCGCAAGGGAGTACTGTATGGAAGCAAGCTATTTAAAAGGCTGCAAGTTGCATGAAGTAATTAACCTACGGCTCATCCGGTTGTGCTGCCTTGTTGCACATCTCCGTAAAAGACGCTGCGGAGATTGTCTTGCGACGCAACTCAGTCATGGCCAGTTTCTTGCGCAGCGTTACAGCTGGGCTGCAAAAGGTGAATGGACAAGGGATTAGTCAGAGATTATGGATATTAATCGATGTGCACACCTTCTAACGCCCGTCTCTAGCTGTTGGCTCAGACGCGTCTTGACCGCGCTGCTCGCTGGAGGCACTGCAGCTGCTGCATCCGCCTGCTCTACAATGGAATCGAAGCTTTAGCTTTAGGAGATTTAATAGTTAAAGGCGCTACACTCACTCTGTGCGGATCGACTGGTTATGATCAGTGGCAGGGGCGCATATTTTTTGGCCGCACTGGACTTGGGCGTGCGCGGCTGCTGCATGCTGATGCGACTCTTGGGCGTTGTGGGCGTGCGCGGTGGACTCCGTTGCTGCGCCTTGGACTTGGCTTTAGTGGGCGTGCGCGGCAGCTGATCATCGGCGCCATCGATTTGCGGCAATTTCGGGTTCTGGCTGGTCTTGCTCTGAGACTTGGGCTGACTCTGGGTTAGCTTAAGTAGCAGCTCGTCAATGTCATCCAGGGCAACGGAAAAGTCGTGCATGTTGCCCGCGGTGTTGTCCTCATCCGAGTTGTCGCTTTCGTCTTCGGACAGCGGCTGCTGCGAGGCTGCAGCTGCCGTCTGTTTGTCCAGCAGCTCAGGCGTTAGCTCAACTGAAAGCGTAGCCAACAATTAATTTAAATACTAACTAAGCTTATATTTAAAAGGGGCTTACATTGTTTGTGCTGCTGCGAGAGCGGCGCCAGCGAGCTGTCCAAATCGATGTGGGATTCGTTTGCGTTCTGCTCCTCCAGCTGTTGCAGCACCTCAAGCAGCTCCAAATCCTCCTCGCGCACTAAATTGACTTGGTAAAGATTACATACTAAATGCAATTAAAATAATTAGCTCACAGGTAGCGTCATGTGGCACTGGACCCTGCATCTCCAAGAGCTGCTCGTCCACGAGCGTATCGTCCAGAAAGGCAGCCTCGCCATTGCCCACATCCGGCAGCAGGCTTTGCAGACTGCCGCTGCCTGATAGATGATTTTGTATGACAGATGCATTCATCAGCTGCTGCTGTGCATCCTGGGTGCATTCATCGGGATAAACGGCATTCACCAATAGCTTTTGCAAATTGAATTGCCGGCGCTGCTCCTTGGCGCTTGTCTGGAGCGTCACATTCGCATGGCTGATCTGCGTCTGATCGGACAGAGTTTGATCCGAGCTCAATGTCTGCTCCAGGGATAACAGCTTGCTCTCTAGCGCAGCCCGATAGAAGCTATCGCTTTCGGCTACTTCCACATTCGGGCGCTCCTGGGTGGGCGGCACTTGCAGCGCAGGCAGCTGTAATTGAGGCAAATTTATTGGCTGGGCGAGGGGATTTGCTGCTGAATCTTTACCGCATTTAGTTTCTGGCTATCGGCGCCATAGCTTTGGGCGAGCTTCTGGCGCCGCACGTGCTCATCATGCCAAATGGCCTCGATACCAGGATTCGTGTGCGTCGTGTTGCTTTTGGTGACCAGTTGAAAGCGATTCAGTATGAAATTCGAACTAATATCCACCTCCAAGGCGCTGCAGGCGATCTTCTTAACGCAACTGGTGTCCAGCAGCTGCTCCGGCTTCACATTCGCATAGGGCACAACTGGAACAAGAACAGAATGGACTGTAAGTGCCAGTCCAGAGAGAGAGAATATTTGTTTTTTCGTTTACCCTCTTCATCCGTATGCCTGCGAAACTTGACCACCTCGAGCGGCACATGCAGATAGCTCATGCCGTACAAATTGTAATCAATCATAAATTGAAGAATGTAGGGTACATGCGATTCGTGGGGATTGAAGTTTCTGCTCAATATGGCGCCGCTTTGCAGTAAATTGGCAGCGCGTCGCACGAAGCGCGGATTGAACATGAAAATCTTAAAAAACTGATGCTCGGTGCGATGATAGCCATAGAAAGGACTGGAAAAGGAGTTGGCATTAAGGCATCTATTTGGCATATCCGAAGATATACTCACATGCCCTTTACCAATTGTATTTTGAAGACATGCTGCGCATTGGAGCTGCCCTGGCCCAAGGATATATTGATGGCCTTGTCCAAGTGCATGGCTATTTGCAGTATGCCCCGTTCCACAGATTCAAAGTCCCGCCTATCGTAGGGTATGTAAAAGTAGGGGAAGACGCCGTGCACATGCATGCAACACTTTTGGCCATTGGCATTGGCGCCAAATATGCGCACAATGGGCACCTGTTCAACAAATATAAGGGCCTTAGCATATAATTAACAATTTCAAATTAGTTGCTATATTTACGCGCTTAATTTCCTTGCCGCGCAACTCCGAGTAGCAGGGATCCAGGCCAAATACGGGTTTTTCCATGTAAAAATCGGCAATTACAAGCCGCACGGAGTAAATGCCGTCTATATCGGACATTTTCTGTTGTTTTGTGTGCAAATATAAACGTAGTATTCATTAAAAACCAGCAACAACTTAATTTTTTGCAACTTGTTTACTTTTATGCGAATAACTGCCAGGGCTGGCGAAACTCGTTGCGGCAACATTGTGAAATTCAATTTGCGACTCGTTACGAGTACTTGGTACTTGCACATTCAAATAATTGCCGCCATTTAGGGCTAGCAACTAGGGCTGGCAATGCTGCACAAGTACAATGCTGACTCGTGACAAGTACGACTACTCGTTCAAATTCAAACTTGTGGCGCCAATTAAACGTATCTATTGTAAATTTAATGAATTCTGCATTTGTTATTAGATATATTATATTTATATGTTCTTTGCATTATATTTATATAAGAAATAGTTCATTGTAATTGATTCTGTGCTGTATTTTATGACATCCGGGGCCAAGCTTAGTCTAGACTCTGCTATTGACTTTCCATTGTTGTCTTCTTTGAACAACTGCTCATCAACCGAGATGATTAAAAGATCCCCCTGTACGTGCCCAGCCTGTGAATACGACTTGAAAGCAAAGCAGTGTCCACCGGGAATCCCTTAGCTTGACAAAAGCGACACTTTCGCTGTATAAATACGTGGAGCCATGCCGCTTGGCATCATCAGTTGCCAGACAAACTGCATTACAATGAAGTTGATCGTATGCCTGGGCCTGCTACTAATCCTGGCTGTGACAAATGCGTTGACTTCTACGCATGAGGCGACAGCTCCAACGGGAATGGAATGGCATCCACGCCAGAAACGCGCCACCTGCGATCTGCTGAGCTTCTGGAACGTAAAGAACACAGCCTGTGTGGCCCACTGCCTGGCCAGGCGCTACAAGGGCGGCTACTGCAATAACAAGGCCATTTGTGTTTGTCGGCGTTAAATTCATTAATTTATAATCAAATAAAATATGCGAACATCTCGTAGTTAGTGTATATATATATATATATATTTATTTATTGCTGCAGCAGCTGTGAAAAGAAGCATTTCGTTTCCTTGGCTGACTTTTCATATAAATTGCATTCGATATATATATATATATATATAGATATATATTTTATGTATAAAGGTTGTTATGAAAAAAATTCGATTAGTTTTAGCTAACAAATTGAATGGCGATTGTGCATAAAATTTTTGCTAATTTTACATGCATTTTGTTAATTTTCATATCATTTCATTTAACTAGACTTTCGTAATGTATATTAAATATAAGTTAAGTATAAAATTTGTTAATTATTCGATTTGACTCACATATAAGTTTTAATTAATTACTAAGTTAACTTGATTAGAATTAGTTGCAATTACCATATAATATATATATATATATATATTATAATTGAGAAAAATGCGTTGCTTCGCTTTTCAAAAGTTTCCTTTTCTTTTGATATATATATATATATATATATATATAGTATATTTATATAGAGGCTAGCGATTTTTTTTTTGATTTTTTTCTTTACTTTTTTGGCCAAATCACAGGAGAATCAGAAGTTATTAACAAAATCTAAGTTTAAGACAAGTTTTAAGAGTGTAAACACGCACACACACACACACACACGCACGCACACACACAAAGTTTTGAACACAACTTTTTCAATATTTTTAATGTTCCTTTCGCTTTTACTCTATTTATTTGTTGTATATAAGTTTTTTTTTTTTGATTTGTTATAGAATTAAAAATTAAAAAATTTAAAAAAAAAACACTCAACTTTGTTGCTTTATTTTTGCCTTGTTGCAATTATTAACTATTTTTTGTTGTTGTACAATAAATTAAGAAGTATGTCCCTCTCTCTCTCGCTCTCCCTCTCTCTCTCTCTCTCGCTCTCTCTATATATATATATGTTTTTAGCGTATTCTTTTATTTTTTTTCATTTTTACTTTATAACTTTTAAAAAATTGTTTATGTTGTTTTTGTTGTTGTTTTGTGTGTGTTTTTTTTTTTCTTTGAGAAATTGTGATATTTATTTGTTAAAGCGTTTGATTTTTCAAAAATTTGCTCAATATTTGTTTTACGTTCCGAACTTAACAATACAAAAGAGAAATATATAAACAATTAGCTTTTCAAAACAAACAATATGCATTACAAAATAATAATAATAATAATAATAATAGTAATAATAATAATAATAATAATAAATAGTAACTAGTGAAAATGATTTGCTTTGATTATGCATATACAATATTTATATATATATATAAAAAAGGTAAACCTATGCAGTTGCAACTTTAGGCAAACTTTCGTTTCGATTTCAATTTGTTTTTTAGACATCGACAACCATCTTCTTGTGTATATCCGTGTTGCCGACCACCGAACAGAACTCGTCGAAGGAGATTTTGCCGTCCTCGTCCTTGTCCGCAAAACCGATTGTCTTGTCCACAATTTGCTGCAGCTGCGTATCCTTCAAATTGTTGCCCACCATCATTTTGAGCACCTGCACGAATCGTATTAAAATATTAGTTAAGCATGTATATATGAGGTGACCAGGCTCGATACGCACCTGGAAGAGTTCGCCATTTGAGATGTAGCCATCGTTGTCCATGTCGTAGATGCGAAATGCGAAGCGCAGCTTGGACAGTTTGTCGCCTTTGACGCTGAACTGTGAGACGCCCTGGATGAACTCCTTGAAGTCCACCTCGCCGTTGCCGTCCGCATCGAAAATGTCGATCACGCGCTGCACAAGCGGATTCTGTTGCAATTCCGGCAGCGACATAAACTCATCCACGCTCAATGCACCCGAATTGTCCAGATCCAGTTTGCGGAAACGTTTGCCCAGACGACGTATCTCATCCGCATCGACTGTTCAAATTTAAATGGTAGCTTGTTTAGATTTTGGCCACAGGGTGATTACAGCAGCGAACAGCACGTGTGGGTGTGCACCCTGTACGCCCTGTACTGCTGCTTGTATTGTACAAAAATGTGACCATTTTATTTATAGATCACCCCCCGAACAAGCTGATGTCAATGAAAATGATATTGATGTCCACACAATGCATGGGCCGATCAGAGCGAGAGCTTCTCAGCCAAATGAATGCAAGCGAATGACACTTGTTTGTTCATTACATCATATTCCAATTAGAATATGCAACATAAATACTGACTGGTGTACGCACAACTGATGTTCCAATAGCATCAGTTTATTAACAATTCTAATTTCACCAGTATTCACAGTCCAATTAGAACGGCTAACCAATGTTACTCCAATATCACTCATTTTCCAATTGGCGCACGACGCATAAAATAATATTCAAATAGCAACAGTTTTCCAACAAGTCTCATTCTATCAGCCTACAGTATTCCAATTCGAACACGCAACCCAAAAACTAGCCAGTGTCACTACAGCACAACGGGCATTCCAATTTGAACACACAAAGCTAACAAGTGTCAAGCTAACAGAGTTGTGGTTCCAATTCGATTCCAGCACAATTCACTTTCCAACTAGAACACGCAACACAACAATTGTCACTTTAGCACAATTCATATTCCAATTTGAGCACGCAACGCAAACCCAAGCCAGTGTCACTCTAGCACAATTCATATTCCAATTAGCCCATAAAACTGCTGCTCCCGCTGCCCGTTTCCCGCTTCCCGCAGCCCACTGCACACGCTGGACAAACAAGCGCAAAGATAGGCAAATAACGGTATGCACATAAGGGTCGCATTAGAAAATGTAAAAATGTAGAGCTACGTGTTTGAAATATGCAAATATGGATAGGCATTCGGCCAAATTCCATTCAAATGACATTGACAATGCGAATTTTACTTACAATTCGAGCACATTTCCATCGGCAGCGACGATTCATTTCCCTGCAATGCACAAATAAAGTTGTTTAAAATAGGCCAAGAGAACTTTAATTTCCATCTGCACGCAAAACCCATAAAAATTGCGTATTTTTCGCGCAGCACCTTTTTTTTCTAGGTTTTGGTTTTGGTTATTTTGTTGCGCGCACGCAAATTTTTATTACCATTTTGTGTGTGCGTTATGTGCGATTTCCTTGGAAGCTATTAATGTATAAACACCAACGACGACGCGACCTTTTTTTTTTGTATTTTCTTTGGCAATTTATAAAAGATTTTGGACTTTTTTTTCCTTTTATTTGGCGACTGCGACACACTTTTGTACACAATGGCGTCTGACCATTCGCTGTTAACGCGCACAACAGATCAGCTGTTCTCCAATCAGAGTGACCATGCCTGACGGTTCGCATGCTGCAGCAGCAGCTATGTTAAGTAGCAGTCTGTTAGCCTTTAACGCCAACTGAGCAGCATTAACGCAAATATGAGCTAACAGGATTTTTTCTTTTATTTGGCGACTGCGACACACTTTTGTACACAATGGCGTCTGACCATTCGCTGTTAACGCGCACAACAGATCAGCTGTTCTCCAATCAGAGTGGCCATGCCTGACGGCTCGCATGCTGCAGCAGCAGCTATGTTAAGTAGCAGTCTGTTAGCCATTAACGTTAACGCAAATATGAGCCAACAGTGGCGCAAGCGCAGTCTGTCTTATCGATTTATCGGCTGTTGCGCTTTTGTAACGGATTTTTCAATTTAAGCAGATTTTCCTTGTTTTTGAGATTTCTTTTGCGGTTGACACAAATACATACCTGAATACCGAATACGCTCAGCATTCGTTGTAACTCCATGCAAATAACAACATTTTTCAATCATACAGCTGCGAGACAATATATTGATGCTTGACCCAATAAAATTTTTAAGAGAAATCCAATTTGAGATTCAGTTTTCAACCCGAATAGTTTTTCAATTGCATAATTCAATTGGCAGCCATATTTCATAAGTTAATGTCAACTTAGTTTGGGTAAATTGGATTGCCCTTTGGCAACTGCCATTTCAGAATTGAAAGTGAAAACTCAGCTGGCGGTTGGCCCACTGAAGGGAATTGCGGCTAGACAGTTATAGAGCTTCCCGCGACAGCATTTACTGCCTATCCGTATTATCATAATGACAACGACTCGCAGCCGTATCTCATTACGCGTGCGACGCGCCAAGCGAACGGTCGACGACAACTCCCAACCGTAAACCCAGTTCCAGATTCGGGCAGAAACCATGTCGCAGAGCATCAACAGCTATGCCTATGCCGATGGCAACGGAGCCGCCGCCGTGCGACGCAAGGTGGCCATTGTGGGCGCCGGTCTGGTATGTCTTACTTTAATCTAAATACATGTCTTATCAGCGATACACCAGACAGCGGGGATTAGTTGACCAAAAAAAGAAAATATTTGGAATCAAGTCATAAAACAAAGATACGAAAATTCTAACTCAAAGAAGAGCATTGTCTTGTGTTAAAGCGAGCTGCATTTAATTTATGATATTTAATAAGTCGCATTTATCGTCAATGCCTGCAGGTTGGCTCCTTGGCCGCCCTGAACTTCGCTCGCATGGGCCACCAGGTGCAGCTGTACGAGTACCGCGAGGACATACGCAGGGCGCAGCTCGTCCAGGGACGCAGCATCAATTTGGCGCTGTCGCAGCGCGGACGCAAGGCGCTGGCCGCCGTCGGGCTGGAGGAGCAGGTGCTGGCCACCGCAATACCGATGCGCGGACGCATGTTGCACAATGTGCGCGGCCGCACCAGCATTGTTCTGTATGATCCGTGCAACGGCCAGTGTCTCTACTCTGTGGGACGCAAGCAGCTGAACGAGCTGCTGCTGAATGCGTGCGATGCCTTTCCGAACATTAGCTGCCATTTCGAGCACAAACTGGCCACGGTCAACATTGCCGAGGGCCGCATGCAGTTCAAGCGACCCGCCGTGGAGCAGCTAATCTCGGCCAGCGCGGATCTGATTGTGGGCTGCGATGGAGCGTACAGCACGCTGCGCCAGCAGCTGGTGCGCACGCCCGGCTTCAACTATTCGCAGGAGTACATTAACACGGGCTACCTGGAGCTGTGCATACCAGCGAAGGATGGTGAGTTTCAGATGCCACCCAATTATTTGCACATTTGGCCGCGCGACTCCTTCATGATGATCGCGCTGCCCAACCAGGACAAATCGTTTACGGTCACGCTGTCCATGCCGTTCGAGCTGTTTGCCCAGCTGCAGACGCAGCAGCAGCTGCTCGATTTCTTTCGCACGCACTATGTGGACGCACTGCCTCTAATTGGCGAGCAGCAGCTGATCAAGGACTTCTTCAAGACGCGACCGCAGCACCTGATGTCCGTCAAATGCAGGCCGTATCATTTCGCCGACAAGGCTTTGATATTGGGCGATGCCGCGCATGCCATGGTGCCCTACTATGGCCAGGGCATGAATGCCGGCATGGAGGATCTGACGCTGCTCAGCTCCATACTGAATCAGCAGCTGCCGCTGGATGCGGCGCTCGCCCAGTTCACGGAGTCGCGCTGGCGCGACGCCTACGCCATCTGCGACCTGGCCATGTACAACTATGTGGAGGTGCGTATGCTGCTAGCAGAAGCTGTTCATTCCCTTGTCATTTCCTTCATCCCTTTGCAGATGCGCGATCTGACCAAGCGCTGGTCCTTCCGCTGTCGCAAGTGGCTGGACACGATGCTATTCCGGCTGTTCCCCAGACGCTGGGTGCCGCTCTATAATAGCGTCTCCTTTACCAGCATGCCCTATAGCCAGTGCATAGCCAATCGCCAGTGGCAGGACAAGCTGCTGGGCAGGGTGCTGGGCGCAACGCTTCTGATGGGCTTGCTTGCTGGTGGCGCCATCTGTGGGCGGCGTTTGCGCTGAGCGCAGTACGCAATTTTGATATGTTGTGAAATGCTATGGACCCTTAACTCTTTTGTACGAAATACATTTACAACTGTTTTATATATATTTTCTAATTTCCTTGTAATTCCCAAATGGTTTATGCGGCATTTAAACCGAATGCTGCATAAAAACATAAAAATATATGTATATGCATGTGTGTATTTGTGTATATTTGTATTTAGCGCGTGGTTAAATACTACGCATCGCATTTTGGCACTCTAAACATGTATTTGTTCTTATTTATTTCTGTTTATTTGCTGCGTTTGAAAAGTCGATGGCATTGTACAAAGCCAAAAATATGCCACACCAGTGTACAGTTGCATTTACAGAAGACATACATATGCATGTAGATGCCCATAAATAAATGCACATACATGAATACTCAATATCACGTGTACCATCGAATGTTTATGGCGGAAAATGAAAAGGAAGAACGCATGTTATGACTAACCTCACTTATTTGCTAATTGACAAGATAAAACCGAATGAGATGTGACTGGCAGCACTGTAATTGTAAATGGCAGCACTGACACGCAAGGCCAGCGCTTTCTCTCTATTCGCGCGCTCGCGCTCGCGCTTTCTCTCTCTCTCTCTCTCTCTCCCTCTTCCGCGCTCTCTTAGTCAATTCAATGTCGACGCCGGCCGGTATTCCGTTATGACTTGCAAGCAATAACGAAAACAACAACATTTTACATTATACGAAATGCGTCGACAGATCTTTAAATTGAAATCTGACAAAAGCTCACTCTCTGCTCTCCCGCGCGCTCTCTTTTCATTTTGCTGGAACATTCGCATGGCGTTGCCAGCAGCAGCCACATGTTGCTTGAGCGAAAAACTAGGCTTAAAAGTGAAAACACGTCCAAAACAATGACTAGCAGCTAACGTCTGACCCAGTGCTGTTAAATGAGGCAGCGCCGTGAGGCAGAGTGAGAGCGAGAGAGCCAAGCACAACAAAAAATATCAACTAATTGTTGTTGTTTTGCAGCGATTAATTGTGAATGTTTAAATCTAAACACATACATATGTACATACACACATACTTACACGGATACATGGTGAGCTTATGTAAATGTGTGCAACTCATGCATACATACATACACACATACACATTTGGTTATTGTTGCTGTTTGCCGGCGGCGATTTAGTTATTTGTGAACTTTTCGCTGCTCACTTTTTATTTTTCGTTGTTGCTTTTATTTCAATTCTTGCTCTCTAGAACTGTTGTCGCTGTCGGCACAGTGGTGCAATGTATCGTTATCAACAATCTAAACGATAAATCGAATTGGAATCAAACTGGCATTCGAGCTAGTATATGTATGTAATATTTTTCTTATGTTTTCATATATACATATGTATATATATTTGTAAATTTACAACATTTCAATAATAGTGTATAATATTTATGACAAAAGACTAAGACTTTAGCCGCGGCTCGCAAGAAATTCACTTTTCTGACCAATGGCATTTGCATTTGGACCACTGTGCGTTGTCGCAGACCACGACGCGTAACTGCCGCGATTTATACAAACATACGGTTTTGCTTAAGCAGCGGCCATCAGTTGCTCGTCACATGTTCGACACTCAAGTAGAGACCACCTCAAGTAACGGGAATTGTGCAGAAAATTGGATCAACGATCAGTTCTGTGACCAACCGACAATTGAAAGTGGAGACTGAGATTTATTGAAAGTCGAAAATCGAACCGAAACAAATCGAAAGCCAGCCGCAACTTGTGTGAGTGTCCGAATATAATTTAATCGAATTGTTAACATTTCGAACCCACTTAGTTGCCAACGCGCCATTGCCGCCTACAACATTCTCGAAGCTTTCCGAGCAACGTGCTTTGACCACACGCGGTTGTGTTTCTTGTCTCTGTGTGCGTGTGTGTCTGTGTGTGTGTGTGTGTGTGTGTGTTGAGCGTGTTAAAAAGGAAAAGCGAATATCGAAAAGAATATAAGCAATTAGGGTTTTATTTGTCAGTCTGTGGTGTTGTGTGTAGTAAAAAGCAGATGCAGTCGGCTCGTCGGTTATTTGCACTTTAACGTCATATTCAAACAATACAAATTTAACTATCGAACATCTTTTGGGCTCTGTTGTTGCGGTGCCACAAGATCTATCGAACGCCAAGCCCCGCACCGCACCATCGTTTCGCTTATCGTCAAACGTTAATTGCACTCTTCGAATTGCATTTGTACTTCCGCTCTCGCTTCCACTCTCTCACTGTGTGCCTCGCTTCGTCTCTCCCTCTTCAGCAGCCGTCGATACGTTGATTCTTCTTGCTTGCTGCTGATTTATTTTAATACAGTGGCTGTGCTCTATTCGAATTCAACAAATAGATTGTTTTGTGTGTGAGCGTGCGTATGTGTGTGCTCTATATACCCACATATATACATTCAAACATACAACTATTCACATTAGTGTTACATATACACGTGAGCCAATCGAACAGAGACTTTGTAATCGTGTAACCGTAACCAATAACGTCAGAGTAACTGTAACGGTCAATAACGCCGCTAACGCGTTTCGCGAATCTTCTCTCTCTTACACCCAGCCTGCTCTCGCACGTAATTACAAGAAGCAGAAGCAGAAGCATTCAGATCGTTACGTACTTTTGCTAGCGCCATCTGGCTTCCGATTATCATTCGCGCGTTATTTCGGCTCTCCTCGTCCTTGTTGTGGCCGTGGCGCAAGTGCCCTCTCTCGCTCGCACCGTCGCTGTCGTCTACGTGTTTCGAAGAAAGCAAGTTTAAAGCAAATAGCGTATACCAAAGACATTGAATCGCGTTCGGCATCTTGTGAATTCGGAAAATAACAGTTAAAGCACGACTAGCCGCCCCAGTTTACCAGGTAAATATCACAAAAAGGCTTATCAAAATATGGAACTTGCAATTTTCGGACTACGTGACCGCGCTGCAGACGGCGCTGCCGGGTCTCGGGTTGCCAAAGAAGCGCCCACCCAAACAAACGCACTCTCTCTCGCTCTCTCTTTCTCTTTCCCACTAATACACACTCACAAATCTATGTGCTATTCTCACGCGTTTCGGCTCTTTTTGTTTTGGGGGGAGTCTTGTCATTTCCGGATTGGGCTGAAAAAATTCACCTTCAGGGCGTTTGGGATTTTGGCCCTGACGCAAATTTAAATGCTTTCCTGCATACATTTGAAGACATTTCTGGCATTTAAATCGGCGTTGTATAAAATATAATATATATTAAAGCACACAACTGAAATAGATCTATGTATACATATATAGTATTTCATATAGCAGGCTAAAAATACAAACAATTATTTATTTCAATTCAATTTATGACAAAATATTCATTTCAGTAAGTTTAAACAGCATGTAATCAAAAATTTTTTAAATTCCGTTCTGATTGAGGAGATTTCTTGGACAATCCCTGAAGCTGTTCAGCTTTTGTCAAGCCATTAACAAATCGCCAAATGCGAATCATATGCTAACCACAAGAGTCAGCATGAAGAGCTATTTAAAGTTCCAGTTATCCAACCAAGGAGATTAGACAAATATTTCAAATATTCAACAGTCTTCAATGAGGTAAAGTTCTCTCAAACAGAGTTGCTTCTTGACGATTCTCAAGTCGATTCACTCCCAACTAGGCATGAGTACTATGAGTAACTGCTGTTTATTAGAAACTACGCATGCATACATATGCATATACAGTATGATGTATGTATGTATCTCACTTCTGATCATATTTGTCATCATTCATTTACTTATTCAACGTTGCTTTGATCGATATTTACATATAATTTCTGTAGGTGTGTTTGGGGGCGTTTTCAATAAACAGAGTCTAATTTAGCAATTTCTCAGAAGAAGCTAAATGTGTACTAGAATTCTATATGGCTATATATATATATATATATATGTATACATATATGTATGTTTATATGAATGTGGAAGATCACATAAATAAATCATCGAAGGCTTCAAAATTGGGATTTCCCCCCCGTGTCAATAACAATAGCACAAAATCAGCACTCAAATCTGGGGGTCATTAGCTGTAAGGTGGCTTTTTTAATTTGCATTTCTACACAGATACAAATACACAATATACTCTGTACTTTGTGTGTGTTAATGTATTTTCTTGTATGCAAATGTAAAACAATATTGCGCTTTATGGCATTAAAATCCCAATCCTGGTTGCCGTTTTGCCGCAGGCCATAAGCAAATCAATTGTGAATACGTATACACACACGCACACACACACACACACACACACACACACACACGCATACAATAACACTTGTAATCGTTTGTAAATAGACATACATACGCACGTCAAACATATTGGGCACTGATCTATGTATGTATGTGTGTATGTATGTCGGTACAGTTTAACATTTGAAAAAAAAAAACTTACATCATCTTCTTGTGGGCCGCAAAGCACGCAGAGCGGAAGATAGAGAGAGCGAGAGCGAGAGCGGGAGAGAGTAGTCGAACGCCAAAAATGGCAAGCAATGTTTTGTTGTTGTTGCCGTTCTTGTCGAACGGGCAGACGCGAAAGTAATAGAAATTGCGCGTTGGAATTGGAAACGACGAAAACAACAACAAAAGCAACAACAAAACACTAACAAAAACCGCAAACATGCCGCGCAGTTTGCTTTTCTTCTTCTTCCTTCTAACACAAAACTAAAGACAAGTGCAAAACAAAGTTGATAAACAACGGCAACAAGGTTAATATGGGGATATGCTGGCAAAAAGACAAAAACACAATACAACAGTTAATTTGCATACTTTACAATAACTGTACTTAAATGCATTTTTCTTAATTGTTTATTCCCTTTCTTCCATTGGCAGCAAGGAATAGGGCAAACGTTTCGAACAGAGGACGCAGTGAAAAAAAAAGAGTGTATGCACAAAATAAAACATCAGTCAGAGCCAGCGAAAAACAAGCAACAATAACATTAACAAAACCAACAACAACAACAACAACAGGCAACAGCAACAACAACAGCAACAACAACAAGGCGCAATTTAATGAATTTTGTGATTATAAATATTTCAAAGGTACAACAAAAGCTCATTTAATAAAAAATCGCGGCATCGAGCACAACGCCAAACGGCAAAACCCACAAAAATCAAATTAAAACAAAAACAAAACGACAAAAAAAGAAAACAACAACGAAATAATTCAAAAAAGCAAGAAAAACAAACGCACAACAACAACAACAACAACAAACGTGGCAATAACTAAAACAGAAAGCTTTCGCAAGTTAGCAGCAGCAGCAAAAACAACAACAACAACAGCAACAACAAGCAGAGCCCGTGAGAGTGCAAGTGAATATAACAGTGTTCGTGCGTGCGTGTATGTTTGTATGTGTGTGTGCTCAAGTGTTGTGAGTGAGCGTGCCAAACAGAGAGAGAGAGAGAGGGAGCCAGAGAGAGATCGAGTGAGCGCGTGAGCGTAAGCGAGAGCGTGCCAAAGCAGAGGCGTCAATAAGCAGCAACCGTTAAGCGAAACAACGGCCAAAGCCAATTGCGCATAGAACAAGCACAGAAGCACATTCGTAAGCGCAGAGAAGCCGAAATAAAATAACTCACGAAAATACACAACAAAAAGACAAAAAAAAAAAATAACAGAAATTAACAAAAATTTCAATCGAAACACAAGAGAAAAAAAGGCAAACAATCAAAAACGGCTGGAAAAGTTTTAAGTGTGACGACAACGTTACCGTTGTGAAAATGGTAAACAAGGCCCAAGGAAAACAGGCGAAGGCAGACAAGGACAAACAAGCTACGCAGCAACAGGAGAAGTCGCAGCAGCAGCAGCAACAGCAGCAACAGCAGCCGCTACAGGTGCTACCAGGTAACAAAAACAATGGCAGCGGCAGCAGCAACAACAATCAAATGAAAACAAACGAGAAGAACAAAAATGGAAACAACAAGTGTAACAACAACAATGCAGCGCGTGCCAAGTCTGGCAGCAACAAAGCACAACAGCAACAACAACAGCAACAGCAGCAGCAGCGCAGCAGCAAAAAGGCGCGTCCGCAGCGGCAGCAGCTCTTCTTTCAGCCGCTGACGCGCAGCAGCAACAGCCAGCAGCAGCTGCTGCTGCAGCGCTCAACATGCTCAACACAAGATGCAGCCAGCAACAGCAGCAGCAGCAATAAAAACAGCAACGCGACAACAACAGCAACAGCAACAACAACAGCAACATTAACAGCCGCCGTTAGCAAAGTAAGTCCCGCCGATATGTTAACAGCCGCCTTGGCCGTGCCCTGCGCCAAGTGCTCAAAGCCCGCCATGCTGCCCGCCGGCCTGCTGCCCTCGTCTGGCTCCAGCAGCAGCAGCGCCAGCTCGGAGGCCAGCAGCAGCAGCTACAGCAGCATTAGCAGCGGCAGCAGCAGCAGCAGCAGCAGTAGCAGCAGCAGCAGCGGCAGCAGCAGCAGAAGCAGCGATCCGCGGCAGCAGCAACAGTCGCAGCAACTGGAGGCAGCCATCATTTATCCGGGCAAACAGTATCGCAAATCGAAATCCTATTTGGGCGTCTCCCAATACGCAACCAAAGCAACAGCTGGCAACAACAACAGCAACGGCAGTAGCAACAACAGCAGCAACATACCGTATAGACGCTCGCAGAGCGATCGCCGCAATTCGTTCGATCGCACCTTTGCGGAGCGTAATCGCGACTTTGTGCCCATCGTCCAGCCATTGCGTCCCGTTCTCTCCTCATCGAACATTGCGGGCGTCATAGCCAGCGCCAGCGCCAGCAAGTTGACCATCATCGAGCGTTTCGGCAAGGGACGCGTCGCCTATCCCATTATGCAGGTGAGTCCAACTAACTACAGACATTATATATAGAGATACAAATTATATTTGAGATATTTTTACGCTTAAAGTTCTGGCTCAAATTGAGTTTGGAAATCTTGTAACTTGTTTATTTATAGTTTTGCAATCAGATTTCAGCAATTTTTATAGCTGCCAACTTCTTGTCTGACTAGATTTTTATTCCATTTCGAACTGAGGCATCTGCTTCCAACTAGAATCGCACAGCCGCGGGACTATCTTATTAGATTATAGAGTTCTTTAATTTAAAAGGTTCAGGCTCAAATTGAGAGCATAATAATTTGATTAGAATTCAATTCCAACTAGACATGTGTTATATAGCTTCTTATTGGCTTGTGCGGTTGCTTAAGATGGCGGTAAATTCAGGATTTAATTAAGATTGAAAATCAGATCAGATCTTAACAATTTCTATAGCTACCAATTTCTTGGCTAGATTCTTATTCAATTTTCTTCCAACTAGAACTTGGCATGCTTTCTTGTGACTAAAGCCTCGGCGAAATCTTATTAGATTATAGAGTTGCTGGAGATCAAATTGATACCTGATCTCAGATTTAACTATTTATATTTATCTAAGGATTTATCTGAAAATGAAGCTGTTTTAGCTTAAAGAAATTGTGAGCGAATGCAGGCAACAAATTGAAGAGAAGATTCGTTTAAAACGTGATGTATAATATTTGTGCCGATATTATTGTGGGTTATCTTTCGTAACTTTCCATTTGTGTGATATTTTGTTTTTGTTGCCACATAAAGATTCGAGAAGTTCTTTCTAATCAGCGCTACCGAAGGAAGCGGTTCTAATTAATGGCGCAAAAGCAGTTAGATGATAAGGCCTAAAGCAAAACAAAAAAAAAAAAAAAATACTATAAAAACAGAATAGAATGGAGAGAGTATATAATTGTTGTTGTTGTCGTGTTTCATTAGTCATCTGTATATTTTCAATGCAGATTGCATCACAGTATGAAATATACTTAGTTATACTTAGATTGGTTGTCTTTCTACTAAGTTCAAGAAAATAATCCCTCGCTCCCTTCCCCTCTCCCTCCGCCTGCCACGTTGCCCGCTTCTAGCCTCTTGTGTGTGTAATTAGTTGGCAAGTTGAGAATTACGAAGCTTGTTTATTTGATTAGCTCGGTAGCTGCTCAGGCATTGTTATCACTGCACTTTGTGTCTAATATTTGCCCATATTTGCACTGGGCTAAAGACACGTGCGACCGAGCTGGGATCGTGCATTCCACGCATTACGTATACGGCATGTTGAACATTAATTTTATTTCAATATTGTTACCGAATGAATGTGTAATGCCTTGTATATAAGGCAGCGCAAGCGCCATAAAGTATATATATTATTGATCAGCATTATCAGCTGATCTATAGATATTTCAGTGCATCATGATTTATGGGAGCCTAAAGTTAAGCTTTTTCAAGTGAAACTTGGTATGGATCAGATCGGATAACTATATATATGTTATTGATCAACATCATTAGCTGAGTTATTGGAGCTAATTGGATTGCTCAAGATCTATGGGAAATTTGCTATAAAAGCTTTAACGAACGAACGTTCAGATCGTCTTACTATATCACAATTGTGCATATATATAATCTTCTATCAAGGGTATTTGAACTTCGAGCAAAGTTCTTGCGTGTTTTTGTTTTGGTTTCGATTTAAAATTTGTCCATTGACGAGCTGCGGATTGATAGATATTTTCTTTAATGCGGAAATTGCAAAGCCTTGGAATTTTAAAACAAATCAAAAAGGAACGAGATGTGTTTTGGCTCATCTGTTGCATAGATGAAACAAAATACAAAAAAATACAAAAAAACACGACGGCCAGAAAAGTTCAACATATTTTTTGTAGCTGTTGTTGTTTATGCTAATTATTCAGGTCTATAGAAATCTGCATATGTTGGAAAAATAGTTAAGCCAAAAATAAAATCAAATCAAATCAAATACAGATTAGCATGTGCGTCAGTTGCAAACGTTGCCGGGGCTGGGATTGTTTGATTACCTTTAAAGACCGAAACAAGTTCTAAATGTATGCGAAAAGGGAAACTTGTTTTGCGTTAACTTTATTGCTAAAAGAATCGAGAGTGGAAACGACAAATGCAAATTGATTCATGTTCTTCATTTGAGAACTTTTTATTATTGTTTAAACAATTGACAGACAAAAATGTTGGGAAACAACGTTTAAACAACTGTCGCCAGAGCCCAAACAAGAGCTAACCTTCAAATGCATTTTCCAAACAAACTTAACACACTTTTTGTTTTTCTTTTTGTTTGTACTATTATTGTTATTATTTTTAACCTGCGTGTGAATCATTTAAGCGCACGAGCTCTTTCTTTCGAAGAGCGAAAGCTTGCAAGATACTCTCTTGCTCTCTCGCTCTCTCGCTCGTTCTTCACGTGAGCACAGCTGTCGGGGCACAGTGGGGCGAAGCCGTCAAACACGTGGCAAAAGCTGATCAACTGGGCAACGGAAATGAACTGACGTGCAGATAAGATAAACAAGCAACACTTGTCAGCACAAAAAAAATAATAATAACCAAATACTTGACATATGTGATATGTATATATGCATATAAATATATATATATATATGGATGTATGGGGGAATGTTTTGAGGGGATTTTAGCCGCGATTTCGATCTGGCTTGAAAGATTCACGTTCTTTCACTTCATGTATGTGTTATCAGCGTCGGTTGCAACGAAATAATAAAATATGCAATAAAATGAAAACAATGCAAAAAAAGAATAAGTAAAATAATAATAGAAAACATCAAGAGTAACCAAACAGAAGCACAGGCGTTGCAAATATTGAAACTCGTTGCTTACGTCAATCGAGAGCTAGTCCCATCGATAGGACCATACACACAGATGTGCACAAATATAATATATATATATATATATATATATATATATATATATATATATATATATATATATATATATATATATATAGCTCTGTGTAGTATATGGAAATGATTTGTAAAAAGAGACTTTTCGCTAATAGGGCCTATTCGCTGGAAACCTTCAATGAAAGCAGCTACCAATTACTTCTAACAAAAAACCCAGCTATAATATTTCACTCATTAAATTTTACACCCAGCTGCGGTTGAACATTTCATTTTGATGGCTTACAGGCAATAATCTATATGAACTCATGGACGATGCGAGCCAGAGACACTAGGTTTGACGGGTTCAATGCCTGTAGGGCATATGTCCTCAATTTTGATTATATATCTTCTTTTAAACAATTATTTAGCTGTTCAAAACTTTTTCTTAGGATCGCTTAAGCTGTTTCAAGTTCTTCTTCTAAGGCTTTTTAGGAAACGTACTGGACATATCTTAGCGATATTCAAGCGAAATTAATCTTATCTTGTGCGCTGCTAGAACTAGAAGATGGGTTATATTCAGCTAAGTTGAGTTATCGATATGTTATCGATAGTTGAAGATGCTAGAACTAGAAGTTAAGGTGGGATATATTTCAGCTAAGTCGAGTTAAAGATATGTTGTCGATAGATGAGTTTGAATGTTTCGCGTAGTGTGTTTTTAAATGTACCCAATTTACAATGTGCTTGCAGTTTGATCTCTAGTTTATATAGTCTCTAATTTCTAGTTCAAACAAGTCAAATGATCGATAAGTCATAATCTGCTGTGACGCATTGACTTTTAAAGGTTTCTTTTCCTCTAGTTACAGCAGCATATATATAAGCTAAGTCAAGTTATCGATATGTTATCGATAGTTGTTAGTAGGCTTGTTAAACATTGATTTTTAATTTTATTAAATATGCCTAGTTTTCAATGTGCTTGCAATTTGGTATCTAGTTTATACATACTCTAATCTCGAGTTAAGTTAAGTTATCGATATAGTAGTTATCGATATGTTTTGGCTTACTTCAGCTCTTTTTAAAGTCTCTTTTTAAATGTTGCCAATATATTTTTTTCTGGTCTTCCGGCAGTTCGGGTATTTTAAATGTCGAACGTTTAATACTGCAGCATTAATTTATATTTCTCATTATTTTCGCTTCAAACGCAGCTGTGTGTGAATTTTGAGCCATGTTTTCTTAAGTTTTTGTGACCCCTTCCCCACGCCCAACCGCAGTCAAGTAATTGCTTTTGAAACAAATTTAACAACTTGCGATTATTGTTATTTTTTCTCTGTTTTTTTTTTCATATTATAATTTGCGTCGTAAAATTTCTTTGCTGACAAGGCCAAGAAATGCGTTTAAAGAAAGGCCAAAAAGCAGCACAAACGAAATGAAGAAGTTCAGATAATGCTAATAATAATGAGATTGATAATGATAATGATAATGATAGTGATGATAATAATAATTATGATAATGATAATGATTATGATAATTTGTTATCACGTTTTCAACGTTCTCTAAGTGCCTGCGCCCGGACGCCTTATCAACCTTAGAAACCGTGCAAAATATAATAAATATTTTAATCAAAAACTGACAAAAAAAAAAAAAAAACAGAAAAGAAGAAAAATATTTACCTACTTCAGAAAAAAGTGTGTTTTTTTGGCATAGAAAGTGCCACATATGCGTTGCTTTGCTTTTTGTTTATTTGTTGTGCTCGAAATATAATTATTTACAATCGCTTGTTATTCAATGGCCGCAAAAATGCCAGCGCATTGTCTTAAAAAGGTGCAAAAAACAAATTGTCAGCTCTTTGATTAGGCAACATTAAAAAGTTGGTTGACCAGGTTGGTTTTAAATGTCACCTACGCATCAATTGGGGAACTGAGGTATGACAATTACTTTAGTTTTTCGGATACATGCAACTAATCAACCCTAACAATACACACAACTGGTAGGGTATACCGGTACAGACACCCGATTTGTCTTGCTGATAAACCCTATTCATAAACTCTTCTGACAAGTTCTATTAATAGTCCCTTTTGATACATATTTCTGATATATCCAACGAATACCCTATCAACACACGCTATCAATACAACCTACCTAACCATCTGCCCT